CTTCTTTTTCAGGATTTGTATCATCATAGCGTAAATAACAGATTCCATCATGAGCTGCTGCATATCTAAATTATATTATTATACATTAAATTATAAATAAATAAATAAGGAATATTATTTGAAATATAATATAAATTAAATAAAATTAATATATGATATATATAATATATAATATATATAAAATTAATATATATAATTATATATATACTATTATTATATATACTAAGATAGGACATACCCAAAATTAATATTAATTGCTTTTGCATGACCAATATGTAAAATTCCATTAGGTTCTGGTGGAAATCTAGTTATTACCTTACCACTTGTTATTTTTAAATGTTCTTGAAGTAATTTACGTGTATTTGGTGTTATAATATATCCTTCAGTTTTATAATTTTCTCCTGGTTTATGAAAATTAACTTTAGTTTTCATTAATTCATTTACTGTCTCAACATCTTCTTTATCATTTGTTATTGTCACATTTTTTGATTCCACTAAATAATATAAATATTTTTTTAATAAGTTATAATATATAAGTTCTATATAAATATAAGAAATTATCTGATTTACTTTTTTCTTTCACTGGTTTTCGCATTTTTGCTTGTTTTGTTGATTTATTTAATGGTACAAGATCAGACTCACATTTTGGACCTAATAAATCAAGCATTTGAATATCAAATTCATTTTTTATTGCTTTTCCATCTGCCCATTTTAAAATATTACGTACTTGTTGCATCAATGGACCAATATTAAAATGATACCTATAAAAATTATTTTACAAAATATAAAATATTAAATATTAATGTTAATAATTATAAGTATGATAATATAATGTAAATACCTTTTCTCTGTTATTTCTATTTTATGTGCATTTATTACTTTTTCTACTTCATATTCTATTTCTTCTGGTGATACAACAATATTTATACCACATTCTTTTTCAAAATCAGATATATCAACATTTTCTTTTATATGATTAAGCAAATAACTTAAACTGGCATCTAGTCTTTGAATTGTATCTAATTTCTTTTCAGTTATATATTTAGCAAGAAATGACAATTTATCTGCAATTTGATTCTTAATTTTTGAAGCAAGATGATATAATAAAATTCCAATTTCTGGTGTAATAATTCCATACTTATTAGCCTATAGATATTACACATATGGTATAATTAAATATTTACAGATTGATAAAATTAAATAATAAAATTAAAATGCAAACAAAGAAATTTAAATTTAATTAATTTTAAATATAAACAAAGAAATTTTAATTATATTACTAATATTAAAAAAAATAATTTAAAATATATTTATATAATTTACTAACCTCTATTATAGCAAGTTTCAAATTATTAGAAACTTGTTTATTTTTTAAAGTTTCCTTAGCTTTTTGTTCACTTAAACCAATAGATTCAAATAATTGTATATCATCTTTTACATCCATGATCATATATTTTTTTCTTTTTTTTAATATGTAATTAGACAATTTGTTTTAGCCGGGAAGGTATAGTTCTTATGTAGTAATAAAAGTAATAAATTTCGTAAGTAAATAAATGTGTAAATTTTATTGCAATAATGCGATAAGAAATCTTTAATATTTTATTACTAAGATCACAGATTTTTTCTAAATTCTAAGCTTTATATATTTATTGCTTTTTATTTTTATATATCTATTGCTTTTACAACCTATAAAGATTAAGATTAAGATCAAACTTTTTTATTTTTTAATAAATTGATATTGATAATTCGAATTTGAACAAACATGAAATATTATATAATTCTATAATTAAATAATAAATATAATACACTAATTACATAAATTAATTCATTTAAAATATTATAACATTTATTAAGTTATATAAATAAATAAGTTACATTAATAAATAATCAATTACAGTGAAATTATTAAATTTTTAATAAATATAAAATATTATTATAAATTATAAATTTTTCAAATAACAAATTAATAATTCTATTCTTTATTTATAAAGTTTATATGTAAAATAAATTTATTTAAAAATAATATAAATTTAATGTGTTTTAGTTAATAAAAAGTTAAAAACGACGAAAGATGTATAAAAATAATAATGATGATGATGATTTACAATTATGCCCTACAACACTTGCTGCTTTAAATGAGTTTCTTAAAGAAAAACAAGAAAGAGAAAACCAGTTAAAATATAGTTTAGAAAATAAAGATTTAGAAATTTCTTTTGATGAAAATTGGGTAAATTAACTCTTATTACATATATTTTTTAATATTTTTTAATAATTTATACATAAATTTGATATATTAAGTATTTTACAAAAGAAATAACTTATTCTCATCTATTTATTTATTATATATTAATTTTATATTTTAAAATTAATTATTAATTTAATGATTTACATATTTAAATTTTAGCAATTAAGTCAATTTTGGTATGATGATAAGACAATAAATACTCTTGTAAAAGGTGCTATACAAAGTACAGAATTTGATGGAAAAATTGCTTTAATCTCATGTCCTACACTTTATAATAAATTAAAAAAGAATTGTGATAAACGACAAAGTATGGAAATATTTGTATTCTAATAATTTATGCATTATTTAAAATATTTATTATTAATAATATTGCCAAATATTTATTTGCAGTTACTCTTTTTGAATATGATGAACGTTTTAAAATATATGGAGTTGACTTTATACCATATAACTATAAGTTTCCTTTGGATATACCTCAGCATATGTCAAATTTTTATGACTTGGTTATAGCCGATCCACCATTTCTTTCTGATGAATGTTTAACAAAAACTGCTCTTACAATAAAATTTTTAGCTAAAAAGAATTATGTACTTTGTACAGGTATTTTTAATAATTTTTTTTTATATATTAATTAAAATTTTTAATTATTTTTATTTTGCAGGTTCTATTATGAGTGAATTAGCAAAAAGATTATTAAATGTAGAAATTTGTTGTTTTGTACCTCATCATCAAAATAATCTTGCAAATGAATTTTACTGTTATTCAAATTTTGATTTTGATAAAATGTTACAATAAAAAATAATAAAAATATTGTATATAAAGTTTTAGTATTTTATTGTATTAATTACACAGTAATTAAAAAGAAATTCTTATTATTTATTATTTTTAAATAATACGTATTTTTAACTTATAATATTTACTTCCGGTATTTTAACTGCAAATTTTAATTCTTCATATTCGAATGTTATAAAAAATGTATTTTCTAAAAATATTTTTTTATTTGTTATTAAATAAATCATAATTATATAAAATATTTTTTTACAAATTTAATTTTAATTTTTTTTAAAATAAAATTTAAAAAAGTTGATAATATTAGTAAATTTATAACATATCCGAGTAAAATATTAAAAGTATTTTTATTTATATATAAAGTAAATTTTATTATTATTTAATTATATTTTATCTATCTTACAATGTTTGTTGTATAAATGTATTTTATTTTAATTTTATATATATTAATATATCAAAATTAATAAATAATCACAATAATAATTAAATAGAAATAAATTTTTTTTCAGTTTCTAAGTTTAAATTCCCTAGACAGAAAAAATATTCTCTAGGTAAACAGATGAAAAGAAGACACGCGATGGAAAGCGTAAATATTTACATTTCTTGAGTGTTTGTGAGAATAATTTTTATTTATAATCATGATAGACGGAAACATTTCTATGGAGGAAGACACAGAATTACGGGATTTAGTGGTGCAAACCCTTGAAAATAATGGTGTTCTTGCAAAAGTGCGGGTATGATAAAAAATTTTTTTAAAAATTATATTTTTTTATAGGTTATGTAGATCACGTCAAATAATTTCTTCCATTAAATTTGTATAAAACGTAAATATAATTATTTTATGATATTGATTTTTAAAATATTTTATAATTATATAGGCAGAACTCAGGGCAAGTGTGTTTTTAGCTCTAGAAGAACAAGAATCTGTAATGGTATGTCAAATTTCTGAATATTAAATATTCTCAATATTAAATAAATATAAATTTTTTTATATGTGAAATATATTTTATTAAAATGCAGAAATATTCTTCATATATTTTTATATTATAATAATTAAATGCAAAAAATAAAAATAATATGATGAAAAAATATAGTAAATATAAACTGTTTAAATTTTCAAGTATAAAAATATTTCAGAATCCAGAACCACTTCTTAATAAAACCGTTAAACAGTACCTGGCTAATTCAGAAGGAAAATTATTGTTTTCCTTGGTTAGGGAGTTCCTAGAATATTTTGGTCTTGATTATACAATATCTGTATATGATCCAGAAACATACTTTGGAAAAGAATATAACTATATTGGAAGAAATAAATTATGCGAAGAGTTAGGTATTGAATCCAATGAGCCATTGCTTGGAGAAATTTTAAAAAATAGCATGCACAGTGCCTTCAAAAATACACAAAAGGTATTTAGAATAAAATAATACAATATTACAGTATTATTAAAATAATATAAAATGTTATAGTTAAAGATAAATTATTATAAATAACTGAAAAAATAATTATTACATTTATTATAATTATAAATATTTTTTTAGAATAACATTGACAAAAAATTTAGTAAAACTGATACAACTGAAACAACTGAAACAAATATTACAAATACAACATTTGAAATTTCCATTCCAAAAGTATTAAACAATGAATCTACATCATTGTCAAATGATAATGATGTATCGGATAATTTAGAAAGTGTTTCACAACAAAGTCCAAAACTTCCAATAAATGTGACAATAACTGAAAAAAAAAATAAAGAAACATCTGTTCATGTTTCATTAGATGAATTAAATTATGAGAAGCAAGATTCTCTCAAAAATAGTACAACTTCTGAATATAATGAAGAAAACAATGGAATTGATAGTAAAGGGAACAATAGTACGAATTTTGATACACTCCCTACAAGTCCAAATGGCACAATGATGAATCATACTACAAAGGAGACTGAGATAGATACACGCATTCAAACAAGTTTACTAAATAAAACCGAGCCTTTAATTAAGTTTGATGAATCTATAATTACTGAAATGCAAACAAATCAAAATGAAGATATAAATAAGCAAAATAATATAAATAGTTTGGAATTACAAATAGTAAATAATGTACAAAATAAAAAACCAGTTAATACTGGAAACAGTTTTGGAAAAACTGTATACTTTGAAGAAATTATTGTTGATGGAAAAAGAGAAAATATTAATGATATACATAATAATGACACCTTTTTACAAGATTTACCACCTTTAGATAAAAAATCACATTCTATACTTAGCAATCTCCCACCATTAAATGGTAAAAAAACTAATATTAATGATTTGAAAGAATTAATGGATATTGGACTTGGTATGTTGATATATGTTTATAATATATTTTTAACAATATTAATTTTATAAAAATAATATTTTTAGGAACTGATGGAATAGATAATTATGAAGAAGATTTTGTCTCATCTGCATCTGGTAGTACATATGATCAAAGTCCTTCTAAGGATCCTCAAAAATCAAATAGTCCAAAATTACAAATAAAAAAACAAGATAAAATTCATAGTGTTCATAGTGCTCATAGTGAGGATATAAGTGAAGAAATTGAAGATGTGGATGATATATTAAGCAGTACATCATGTGTAAGTAAATTTTATATAAATTTAGATTTATTTTTTGGATATACAGAATATCTTATAAAATTGCTTGATGAAACTTAAATATATTAGCAATATTAAACAAAAATTATAAAAATATAAGTATATTATTTACATAACTTCCATAAATGAATTTTTTTTTATGCTTTTTAATTTCTATATAGAATTATACTATTTTTTAAATATATTTTATTAGAATATAAATTATAAAATATATTACTAAAGATATTATTAAATTATGAATTATTATATCAAAGCATTTATTTCATATATTTAAATATTAGAAAAATAAAAAATTTATATTACTAAATATCAACAAATATTAAAAAATAGAACAATTATTTTTATAATATATTAGCAATATATGATATTTATATTTTTCATAATTTTTTTTTATAATATATTTATATAATTTATAATTCAAAAATATTACGATTTCATTAAAAAATAAAAAATAAAATTTATATTCTTAAAAAAAATACAAATAAGAATATTTATCAAAATTATTTAAGCTTATTTATAATTTGATATTAAATTTATTTATGATAATTTGATTTATGAAACATAATTCTTGGTGAAATTTTAGAAATGTGTTGATTAGAAATGTGTAAATTTCATAGTAATTATTTATGAAAATATCTTACATAATATAATCATTCTATACAATATAATCATAGTTTTTTATGTATTTTAAATATTGCATGTATTTTATTTTAGCTTGAAGATCTAAATATAGATAAAAATATGTCAAATTTTTCAACGGGTATTACAACAAATTGTGCAAAAGAACTATAATGCACTACACATACTAAAGAACTACTGTAAGAATTTTAAAATATTAATTCATTTATAGCATTAATATTCAATATTCTGTGTCAGGGCATCAAGTATATTAATGCGAATTGGTATAAATTTATAAAATTATTTTGATTTCTAACGTGGCACTGCCATTTATGGCTCAATACTTATAAGTTCTCTTACAAAAAAACGTAGAAGGAAATTGTCTGAAAATATATTTATAAATATTATACTTTCAATACTTTATAATTTTTTTGTCAAAAAATATTTTTATAAATAATGAACTTTATTTTATTTTAGTAGTATTTTTTAAATACATCTTAAGAGATTAACATTATATTATATTTAGAAGATTCAGATTTTTATAGAAACATTATAAAAATTTTATTAAAAGAAATTGAATATTATAAATTAAATTAATGAACTGCCATTATATTATCTATATTTTATTGTAATAAGATATTAAATTATATTTTTGTAATTAAAAATATTAAAAATAGAAATCATATAAAAATTCTAAGAAAAGATTTCTATGAAATAAAATTTTGAAGCAATTAAATAATAAAATACTATTTAACGTAAATATTTTTTTTTTTTTTTCTTTTCTTTATGATGTATTATATTAACATAAGAATTAGGAAATTGTTAATTGTATGTAATAAAATTGTTAATTGTATACTTTCAGACAAACTGCCTTCTACGTTGTTCTGTAAATATATCTAGTATTATACTCATTAAAAACAATTATCTTAATGTTAAAATATTTTAAAAATGAAAAGTAATCAGTTACATTAATGGTTGTTGAATACTTAGTTATATCTTTTTAAAAAATTTTGTAACAATTTTGTTATGTTTACCGAAATAATTCCTGTCCTTACTTTTATGACTGAAATGTCATTACCTCATTTAACTAAAGTTACTGATATAGTATTGATAGCAATATCAGTAAATCATCCGTCTATATAAAAATGGATTGTCTAAAAAAAATGTATAAAATTATTTTTCTTTAAAGATAATGGTGCTAAATGCATAAAATTAAAAATTAAAAAATTTGAAGATTAATATTCAATAAAAGATTGATAGATGCTTATGTTTGCTTGCATCCATGAATTAATATTGATGAAATCTATATTAAATAGTTCAATTTTTGGGCAATCCAATATCTTGATATAAATATACTATGCCCCAATAAGATGCAATAACTAAGTACAATTCATAATGGATCAACTGGATGCTTGACAAATCAAAATCTGTTAACGGTTGTACAGCCTGCTTCCTTCACAAAATTTTTAGTAGCACACAATTACTGTAATGTCATCAATAGTAAATATTGTAAATGATTCAAACAAAGAGATTTCATCTTTTAAAAATTTCAATTAAACATTAATTATATTTAAAACATACTATAAATATGCCATTAATCTAATTTCATATATCATTTAGTTAGAAAACTTTGTTTTAGTAATAATTATTATAATTTCATGAATATATATATATATATTTTTTTATTATAATTTCATTGCTTTGTTAAAAATTAATGTTATAACATTTATTGTTTTAATAATTTTTATAACTGAATTAAAAAATAATCAATTATCTATTTTAAAAAATCATATTTTAAACAATGAAAATATAAAATTTAAGTTTACTTTTCTACAGTATTATGAAATCTCTTAATTTGAATCAATATTTATCTCTATGTATATATTAAAGCAGGTGTGTTCCTGACCAATCAACGTGGTTACATTTTAATATGATATGACATATAATTTTATAAAAACAATTTCAGGATGATACTGAACATTCCTACACTTTATAGAATGTAAAATATAAATACATTCCATTGTTATTAAGATTATTAAGCACTTTTGTTGTATTGTTAGCATTAGTAAAGAAATTTACATAAAAAGTATTTTTCAATGTAAATTATAAGAAAGAAGGAAGAGAGTAATTTAAGAAATGTTTCATAACTTATAACAGTATATCAACAAATTTTATTTTACATTCTGATAAAACTAGAAAATGTTTTTGTAAACATTTCTATTGCAGGGTATAAACATTTTTATATTTATGTAGTTTCAAGAAGTGATTTCAAATAATCCTAAACTGATTAATATAATATCACATGTTCTACATTTTAATATATACAAAAATCTTGTTATATATATATATATATTTTTTTTTCTTTTGGAATATCTGTAAAATATACATAATAAATATATAATTCTTCATTTTATATGCCGAACATAAAAATAAATACAATATAAAAAAAATTGAAAATATATTTTTTAAGATTAGAAAAAATATTAATAAATTTCTTTACATGTAACACATATGTATATCTTTGCACTATTTTTTTGCTAAGAAAAGATATATATAATTAATAACATCGATTTGTTATGTTATAAACTATCTGTATCGATCTGTACATATAATAATGGCATATAATGTACTGAATTGTGAATTAATTATAGATTTTGCAAACACTGATATGAAATAGTTATAATTATTGTTATTTACTAATTTATAATATCAAATTGAACAGATGAAGTATTAATGAATCACTTACAATATTTTTTCATACAGTCCTAGAGGTTTATTTTTGTAACCACGTTGAAGTATTGGTAGCTATATTGTGCCTTTTAGTGTATATGAATAAGAAACAATGCAAATACATACTATGGAATTGCGGAATTTATAAAATATCTAAGTTACTTATTTATGATTTTGAAATATGATGTAACAATATTCATGTAATATGTTATTTATTTTATAAAGATTTTTCTCTTTTGCAATTGTTGCGTTTTCTTTTTATTATCTTATAATCAATCTACCCAAAATTTAATCTTAATCTCATATAACAAATTATTTTATATTTTTACAAATTTTTATTCAAAGTTTAATTTTACATATATAAGAGAAAGACCAAAATTTTAAATTATATTAAACTTAAAATATAAATAAAGAATTATATTGAATAAAAAATTATTATTGCTAATATGACAAATATAATGAATCAATATTTCAGATGAAAGAAAACAGATTACAAGTTTAAGTAATTTATTTGTCAATGCTTTATAAGTACAGATGGCAGTGTTATTTCACTATGTAATATTGAAATTCCATTTTTAACTTTTAGTTTTATAAATATAAAAATCTATTTTTTATATAAATATTAATCAAAAATGATATTGTTATATACAAAATTATTCAATGTTTATAAATGACAATGTTTATAGATTTGATAACAAATATACATAATAATTACAATTTCCTAAACAATATTTGGAAATAGTTGATATACAATTACACAATATACAACCAGAAACAATTTATTTAACAATTTGTACTGTTACATTCTATTATGCTCTCTTTGTATTCGAGCACTATATGTTTTTGATACAAGATTAAATGCATCCATATATCGGTCCATACACATTGCTACACATTTCTGCAAATAAATTATAAAATGATTTATGAAAAATTCATTCATATTTTACAACTTTATTTTTAACCATTTTATTCTCTATATGGCATAATTTAATATATATAATACAGAAAAAAATTTTATATTTAAAATGAAATCAATTCATTTTTATATATATTTAATATATATTTAATTTTACTTTAATTTTTTATTTGCTTTATTAAGATTTTAAATTTTAATTATTTATATTTATTTATCATTTATTATTTATTATTTACATTATCATTTTGAACAAATGCAAAATAAATAAATAAATGCAAAATAATAAATAAATTGTATTTAAATATAAATATAATTATTTGATTACAAATTATATTTGTAATTAATAATCTAAATAATAATAATAAGTATTATGATTGTTTTAATTACATTATTATAATATCATGCAAAATTTGTTACGACTTAAAATTGAAACAAAATATATATAAAAATTTTAAATATTAAATTTTAAATATATTTAAAAATTTTATTATTTTTGAACAATTTTTAATTTTATTTATATATATTCGATCATTTATGTTGTTTTATATATCTTATATTAATTTCTTTTCAATAAACATTTGTAACAATTTCATATATTCATTATAAAAATTATTTAAAAAAATTATTTATGTTATACAAAAATTAATTAAATTAATAAAAATTTTATAAAAGCTATTTTCAAATTATTTCTGTTATAATATTCTAATAAAAAAATATTATATTTAATTCTATTCTACCTTTGAAGCTTTCAGGTTATATCTTATTAAGGTTATGTATCATGTTCTGTGAATAGATATTACCTGTTCAGAACTATCTAGAGAAGTGCCAGGTCTAACCACACATTTTTTGAAGCATTTCTCTGACATTTTCTGAAAATATAAAATTAAATATATGCTATTCATTCATTCTTAATTTGTAAAAAAAAAGAGAAATAAATGTATTATGCCATCATACCGAGAGCATCTCTTGTGCACTTGCAATAGCAAATTCTTGTTTTATTTGTTGCATAAATTCACTTTTCTCTTTATCAGTTAAAGATTCAGATGTAAGTGCACTCATATTTACAGTTAATTATTAAATTCTTTTTATGTAAAAAGATTAAGATCAAAATCACTTTGCTCTCGTTATGTCCGAATTACCATGTTCCTACCGGTTCGATCGATAAACCGGAAGCACGTGAAACTATCTTTCTGAAAATGTTGTTCACAATGATTCATTAAAAAATTATTTCGAATCAATTAATGATTATAAAAAAAAGTTTCGAATATATTAATAAAAAATATATTTAAATATATTATTATATAAACATTGTTCAACGAATCGAATTGTCAAATCCAAATAAAATTATATAATCAAAATCTAGGGGAATAAGATTTTATCGATTAATAAGTTTGAAATATGAAATAAAAACTACATTAATTTATTTAAAAAATTATTTATCGTTAAATAAATAATACTAATAAATTGTTTTTAACGTTTAAATATAAATTCGTAAATATAATTTATTTTTATAAAAATAAGCATTTAATATAGTAATATAATAATAAATAGTAAATGCTGAATACACCGGTTAGTATCAATGCATTTTGCATAATAATATAAATTCGATTTTAATTCTTAATTTCTATAATCAATAGCTGAAGTATTCATAATATTCATCATGTGATTTGATTTATTTACTACAAATGAATTGATTCATTAAATGTGATGTATAGATAATTAATCTTATATTATTATTTTCAATTTCAAATTTAATTCTTATAGATATATGTATATATATTCTATAATTCTATAAAATTTATATTTTTACATTCAAATGAATTATAATTTGAATATTTTATTTTATCAACTTATATTTTAATAATTTAATAGATAATATAATATAATAAAATAGAATTTAATATTTATTTTTTTATATGTAAAATTAAAAATATACTTTTCAATAAAATATTTTTAATCAATAAAAATATACATATAAACATGGTATTTATTTCATAATATTTTATAATATTGCATTTTTAAGATTCTGTTATTACTTTAAATTATTCAAATTATTATTATTTATTATTGTTCTAGGTGAACGACAATATTAATAAGATTGAACGATTAAAGCTTCATATTAAAAAGCGAAATAAAATTCTTTCTGAATTACAATATGCATACGTAAAATATTCGTATCATCATTCATCCGAATTAGGTTTTTTCATAATTATAAATTTTTATTCAGTAATAATATAATAATAACTATTGATTGATTTATATTCAATAATAAATAATATAATAAATTATTTTATATAATTATTAATGTATAGGTACTTTCACAAATAATTTATCGAATGAAAAAAAATTATATTCTCCTTATATTATCGAAGATATTTTAATAGAAATGAAGGAATTAAAGAAATTCAATGATAAAAATAAAGATTGTTATCGATGTGAACATTTTTTGAATATACCTCAAAATCTTATTCAAATTTGTGAGAAAATATCGAATTATACAGAAGAATATTTGACTGAGTTAAATTTTGTACAAAGTATTGTTTGGTTAAAGTCAGCTATAATGTTCATGAAAACTATTTCCATTGAACAATTTCATTTGGTATTTCATAAACAGTGGAAAAATATGGGTAATGTGATTTAATATTTAATATTTTTGATAAATATTTTTTATGTTAAATATATTTTTAAACAATTAACATAACATGATATAAGTAATTAATATTAATATTTATATGAATACTATATCCTAAACGACCGTATTACGATTAATAAAATATATTATGATTAAATAAAAATTTCAAATAATATGTATATAACCGATAACATTTTTAAAAAGATATTATATTTGTAGGAAAAGATTCTGATTTATATAATCAAGATTCGATATTTCATATTCAAGATAATGATCATAGTAATTTGATTAATCTATTGAACAATGATCAGGAAAATTATATAAATTTTGATGATAATTTAAAATATAATAATAGTATCGATTTATCATGTAATGTACAGTGTGATAAAAAAAATAATATATCGCAATTTTGTTATCAAGAAATGAATCAAGAAATTGAAATTTTCACTCAAAAAAGAATTAATCCTTCCGTGTTTGCATCTTATCAAAGTCTTGACAGATACTTTAATACACAATCGTGTACACAACAGAATACAACTTTGAATAATTATATTATCCAGGATTCAGACCAAAATTGTTCTTCTAGTTCCGACATGTTTAGAGATTCTTTGGAAAGTCAAGATAAAATCATAGATAGAGAAACTTATAAACTAGTTGAAAAAAATAACCTTATCAATGATAAATCGGCAGAGAAATTTTCATTATTACATTCCCAAAATAATGATGTTTTAAAAACTTTGATGAAAATGAAAGATAACACTATCTTCCCACACGGTAATGATTTTTCAGATATTTTATTTAACAAAGAATATTCATTATGTAAACAAAATTGCAATAAACTAAGGAAACAGTTAACCTCCAAATCGAATAAATCGAATAAACACGTAATTGCTCCACAAACTTCTGATTTGGATTTTGATCATGAAAGTTTTATTATTTCGTCGAATCAGATTGACGATGCTTGCTCTCCTCAAAAAGATAGTGCTTACGATACTTATCAATTGAGTGCAGAATGTATATCAATATCGAATTACATTGATAAAAGTGAAAAGAGTATATTTTCTAATCAAAAAATCGATAAAATTACTCCTCATCAAAAAGACACGCATGATATAGAATTTCTTACCTCAGATATAAGCGAAAAAGATTGGATTTTAAATCAAGATCAGCAACTGTGTTTATCTTTTTCACGTCAAAAAAGCGATAGTAGCACAAATAACGTAAAATCATATACACAAAAAAGACATTCGCAGAAATATTCACTCGAAGAATGTGAGGAAAGTAAAAGAAAGAGATTAAAATCTGTTCACGGATTAACTGTAACTGAAGTTTATGAAGGAAAGGACAAAAAGATTTCATCGGAATGGTTGAAATTCATACTCGATACTTTAAATGTGGACGATGTTGCTTTTGAATCGGCAAAGATGATTCTTTCAGTTTTTCAAAATGAGAGAATAGGGAAATTGTATATGAGAAAAAGATGTTGGAAAGATACTTTAGAAGAGCAAGCTTTAAATGCAATATTGGATTTTTGTGACATTTCTGAAGCTAAATATAGAACTAATGCGTATACACAAGAAATTGTACAAATAATGACAAGTATATTGGATGAAAATATTGAGAATATTCGACTAAACAAGGTAAATTAAAACTTGTGTTAATAGTTAAGAAAAATGATATAAAATATAATTATAAATAAACAATTTGAAACCTTAGTGATTGTAAAATGAACTTATAAAATGTTAATCTCTCATACTTTTTATTATTTATTCTTATTATTTAATATTAAAATTAAGTGTTAAAGTTACATATAAAATATGCATAGTTTTTTAAAAAATGAAATATTTAATTTTTTTGTCGTTAAAGATAAAAAAAAAATGCCAAAGATAAATAATGACTTTAGTTTTAGAAAGGTATTGCTTAAATATAATAGATTTGTTATATACATAAATTATTGATTATTCAAAATAAA